AGTTTTTAAAAATGCTTTCTGCCTATAAATTCCCCTTCAGATATAAGCCGAACGAGTAACTCCAGAACGAATGCATTTAAACAAAAGTTTTGGTGCCTTTCCAAGCGCTCGACAGATCAGCGTACAATACTGCCACCCTTTGTATTTATTCATGCACTGCCTAGAACAGCGCATCATAACAATGCATTCTCCTCTAACTAAATACCAAAGACAAACAGAACGAAGCATGCCTGTTGCTGTGAACTGATGAATAAATTTTGATTAGTTGGAGTCCAACTTCGACGACGTTGTTGGGCGACATTCTGCTTTGCATAAGGACTTCCGGCGAACCGTCTGAATAAAGCTGGAGGATAAAACTCCCTTCCTTCAGTTCCTCGTAAGCAGTCAACTGTATTGCGTTTCAGCGATCCGCAGTGATCCAAATATCTAGAGAGTCAATTCAGTGAAACCAGTAAAAAAAAAAGAACTGAAAACGTCTTGCCTTTCCCCCTGAGGAAACCAGAACATGAAATAAGAATAAAATACCAACTTCTCGCCTTCTTCTTCAATAGTCAGATTGTTGGGGATGGAAGTTCGCAGCCGCGCATTAGTCACGGAGTTCCGATGTAAAGTGACAAGTTCGCTCATGGCATAGCTCGATCCCAGGTGCTGATAGTCACTGGCATTCAGCAAAGCTTCACCGGCACTTGCACGCCTTTCCACTGCAAGATGTTTTTCAGAATCCCAGCAGAGCTGTCACTGAGCAATTTATACAGTGATTTTGAAAATTTTCATAATACAGTGCTTTCAAAAATTCACCAAAGCATCAACCCAGAATTAGTCCTTGCAAAAACCAATTCATTTACGATGCAGAGAGTTACACGATTTTTCTACAACACCCCATCAATCACTCGCAAATCTTCCCATTCAGCAAGGCAACATTTCACAGGCTGACAGGCTTTGTGCATAAATGGTGGCATCTACCTCAGGTCAAGCCAATGGTTCGTATACGCCAGCGCAAAATACCACTACCCCTATCAATCACTGACAGAATTTGAGGACAACTCGCTGCTGACGTGCAAGGAAAGCAAGCTGCTTCAGCTAGCTCTTCATTTCACCTTTCGCAAGAGGTAATTTTTCAAAAAATCTGCTACTAAAAGGGAAAATCAAAATTCTGACCAGCGATAAATATGCCAATTTCTAAGCAAACAAACTGAAAATAACAAAAAATAACGTACGTGAGGGCATTCCATGGTAGATGCTGGACGGCCCATTAGCGACAATGGAGAGATTAAATGGCAGAAAAGGATTTAATTGATTTATCACAGGATTCGCTGCATATGGTACAGAAATAACAGACGGAACCTTAAACAGTTTCAGCTAACGAACCCGAAGATCAGTAGTAAAAAATATCTTGTAGTATGAAGACTCACTGCATGCTGCTGATGGAAAAGACCAAATCATTGTTGTTCTGCTTCGTTAGACCGTGATATCAGTTAAAGGCGGAGGAGGTAATGAAATACAAATTAAAGGCAGTCACAGAGACTCCCTCTCTCGCCATTCTGAGAATCAAAAAAAAGTTCCAGCATTCACATCACTTACCTAGCCAATCAGTTATTCTTACCTAGCTGCGACTTTTGGAAACAGAAAGACATAAGTAGGGGAACAAATTTACAACAGGTGAAAAGTGGGATTCTTAAAAAACCCGCTTTCCCCGGCCAAAAAACTGCTAGGATGCCTCCGAAAAATGAGCTAA